CACATACACACACACACTATACCTCTGGACAGTACCCCAGTTCTTGTATGCATAAATAAATATTTTTTAAATGCAATCAACTAAAACAACACAATTCTAAGCTTTCAAGTTAATCCTATTTGGTATTCTATTTTACAAAGAAGAACTTCATCATGTGACAGAAAATGATAGACAGCTTGTAAGTAGATCTCTTCTTCAAAGTCTTTGGACCATCATTTCTCAATAAGATAAAAGGAATTGCTCATGCATTCACTGGTTCTGTCAACAAGTGTCTACCGAATCCCACTATGTGACAGACCCTGTACTTGTCTCTCCCTGCTACTGTGAGTAAGTCTTCATTCTCCTCCAAACTGCAGTCTCAATATACAAACGCATATGCATATCAAGTATATAGTTAATATTTGTATGACCACCAACTAGCACAATGCCTAGTTCTAAATGCAAACCTAACTATATAATGACAAAGCAGAGAAGACATGCTGAATACAAAAAACACCAGCTTCTCATTAAGCTGCCAGTTTTTACAGTCAATTCATGGCACTAACATCAGTACAAGATGGCTCATTAAAACCCATCATAGCCACTATTAACAAATAAGGTTTTTCTTTAACACAAAAAGACAACCTTTGCGCTACAGAAAGAACCCTAAGCAATGTCAAGTACAGTTAAGAACGAAAGGGTTTTCAATAAGGCACCACAAAGATTTCACAAGCAAACAATTTCCCCTATATTCACCCTTATAATAGTTTTTAGGCTGAGCGTTTCAGAAGCAAAAAAAAAAAAAAAAATCACACAAAAGAGGAACAAAAGGAGAAAATGCATGCATGCTAAGATTAGCATTTCAGCTCATGAGGAGCGTAGTGCTCTAAAAGTTACCAAAATGACCAAAACAATCTGCAAGTCTGAAAAAGTTGGCTGTGTAAAGTTTAGCTACTATAGTTCACCATATGTCAGGGGTATTGTTCCCTACGTGCAAATCCCAAACATCCCGACTGCAAGCTTTCTCCGGATGCAGCTAACCATTTTTGTTATTCCCAAGACTCCGGGTTAAAAAAAAAAAAATCAGCAAGTATTTAGGAGGGGCCCAGAGAACTTTTCACCCCTAACCGCAGCCCACGATCCTCCCATGGGAACTGCCGATGGACCGCAGCCCGGAGGGGCTGACGGCCACGCCCGGATGCGCGGCGGCCAAGGTCCAGGACCGCCAGCCCTAGGGCCACAAGCTCTGCGGAGGCCATCCTGGCGCGGAAGCTGGATGGGGCGCGGGGCAAGATACCGCCCGGCCTCACCTCCACGGCCTGGCCAAGTTCCAGGTCGAAGCCCACCACACACACGCAGTGCAGCCAGGCCGAGAAACCGTCCCAGCGCAGCAGGCCCCGGTCGCGGCCCTCGTCCTCCTCATCGTCCTCTGAAGTGGCTCCAGCCACAACCATGGCCGGCACTTGGTTCTCCTCGGCCGCCGCCACCGCCTCGTCCAACGGCCCGCGGGAGCTGGGCCCAGAGCCGGCCAGGCCCCGCAGAGCCATCCGACGCCCCCTGGCTATTTGCGCCGCCTCCACCGCGGACCGCGCCGCAGAGAGCGCTCCGTTCCGCGCAGGCGCAGCCCCGGCTGCCGCAGCCGCTGGGGACGGGCTTGGCCTGGGCGGAGCTGCCACTCACGTGACCCTGGGAGTCCCTCTATGCAAGAGATCTCCCCAGCTCCCGGAGCAGGTGAGCACGTCACGCTGGCCCCTGCAAAATTGTGAGGCTGGCCCTTGCCTCCTTGTCTTAAAACTATTCAGGACTAAAACGGTGTTTTGTGAATGGTGGGCATCTTCCTTTACAGTCGACCCCGTGGGTGAATTATTCCTGAAATGACATAAGCACGAGGCAGTATTAAATCTTAGAAACATCGTGGTAACAGTGGCTAACATTGATTGAACATTGTACCAGTTAGTGTGCCAAGCAACTATATTACAAATATAACCTTCAATTTTCACAGCATAACTAGTAGGTAGATATCACTGTTTATTTTCGCAGTAAGGAAACAGAAGTTCTGAGAGGTTTACAGTGACTAGCCCCAAAGTAGTACAACCTGATATCAATGTCATTTATATAGTTTACTCATGCAGTTCTGTTGATTCAGAGATCTATGCCTTTACTCAGCTTTTCCCTCTCCACCAAGACCCCTCCCATATTTCTTGACCTGTTGGTCTATGACTCACTCAACACACACATCTCCAGATCTTTCTGGACACCAGGTTGACTTCCACAGCAACCCAGGATCATTCTGTCTTAGCAAGGTTACAGTGTAAGGTGGTTCCCAGCAAAAGGGAAGATTCCAGGTTCCCTGCCCCACCCAAGGATGAGTGTAGCTGAACAGAGGAGGAGAAGCGGAGGAAGAAACTGGGAGAAAGAAGAAAGAAAGATGGGGATCAAGGAGGCCTGACCTGGAGGAGGCAGATGGAGCAATGAAATATGTGAAGAAGCTACACTTATTTTTGGTCTTGGACTGGTTGAAACAGATGTGGGTGAGAGACCTGCCATTAATAATGGCAGCTTTTATCTTGATTTTGCTTCTTCTGTCCCAAGAGTGCAGGGTCCCCTCTGTCCCTTTCCTATGGGTGCCCACCAGGAGGTGCATTAGACTTGGAGCAAATTTTCAGTCCTCAATGACCCTGCTTTGGGTGACCTTTGTTTACCTAGGCATTTACTCAGGAGAATATGAGTAACTTTGGATACTTGATTTGGGAACTATCTGTTCTTTCCCGCTTCTTTGTATTATTGCACACTGATTGTGTTCAAGTTCCTTTCCATTAAAGGTCTCATGCACTAGAGTTTGTTTTGCCTTGATGAGAATGGCAAATCTATTTAAAACAGGAAGAATTTTAGAGTAAGCTTTGTATTCTCAGCATCAGTACTGGTTTGGGCACCCATGAGACACTTGGTCTCTTAAATTGCTACTGATTATTGGTCTAGCATGATACTGCTAACATTTATTAAGCACCTACTTTCTTATGAATATAAATCCAACAGTGAAAGGAAATGGGAAACACACAATAATACCCCAAGAGGAAAATAAGTAAAAGAGAGTGGATAGTAATTCACTATACACATATTTTTAAAGGACAGTATTCATACTTTTAAACAAATTATCTTCTCTAATCCCTCCAAAAGCAAAAATGTCCCCATTTTACAGATAAGGACCTTGAGGCTCTATGAGATGATGATACCACAGTCAGCAGTGGTAGAATGAAGATTAAAGCCCAAGTTTAATCTTAACTCATTCTGAGTTCCTAAACATCTTGCTGAACTGCTTAGCAAATCCACACCATTTGACAAACATTACCCTTTGGATTTTTACTTGTAGTGTTAACATCCCTATTTTAAGGAGAGGGTGGTATCTCAAACATCATGGATGATGTTTGCTAGACAACTTTTAAAGAAAAAATATAAACTAGGGATAACATTGAAAGTTAAAGTTCAATTCTGGAGCCTCCCTGGTAGTGTAAAGGATTAAGTGAGCACTATAAGGCAATCTGCAGTCACTAGAGCATGAGATTGATCCCCAGCCAGAGAGCTGACCTACATGGCACAGCAGACCTCTCCTGTCTCCCCTGCCACAACCCTCAGCAATGTATTTGAGTCAATCCACTTGTTCTGCTCTCCACTCTCTCTCTCTCTGGTGAATACTTTCACCCCACCACACACCTCTGGCTTATACCCCATTTCTATATGCATAAATAAATCTTCAAAGACAATTTTTAAAAAAGAAGACTTAAATTGATCATGGGAACATCTTCTCCAAGATTCATTTTCTGGGGGCCCTTTATAGTGCTGTATAAAGCACTATAAAGCCAGCAGCAACTGCTTCAGCACCAGTTCAATCCCAGGCCAAGGAGGTGACCCACATGGCAAAGCAGACCTCTCCTGTTTTGCCTGTTGCTCTCCTCAGCAGTGTCAATGTGCCTGTTATGCTCCCCAGTCTCTCTAGTGAATCCTGTCACCGCCCCTGCACCTCTGGCCTGTTCCGTATGCATAAATAAATCTTAAAAACAAATGATTCATTTTCTGCACTGCTAAATAGGAATAATAAGCTTACTTATCTCACTGATTGTCAGGAAGAGACAATCTCTCCCAATGAACACATTTTAGTGGGTGCCACTTCATTATTAATGATTAATGAACTTTAAACACAGTCCATAGGAGTGGTTCTTTGTCATTCGACATAGATCCCTATTCACTGAAATGCCCTATATAATTTTTTATTAAGATAAATGTCAAAATATAGTATACTGAAAATGTCACATTAATATCAGTTTGGTGGGCCCTCCCTGGTGGCACAGTGGGTTAAAGTGCAACACTGCAAGCTAGCTGCAGCACTTCAGTGCCGGTTGGATCCATGACCCCAGAGGTGATCCACATGGCGCGACAGACCTCTCCTGTCTCGCCCGCTACTCCACTCAGCAGTGTATCTCGTCTATCTGTCTGTTCTGCTCCCCTCTCTGTCTCTGTTGAATCCTCTCACCCTCAGCACCTCTGGCCTGTACCCCAGTTCTGTATGCATACATAAATAAATCTTTTAAAAAATCAGTTTGGTAAGGAAAATAACACATGAGAGGCTCAAGAGAATCTTTTTTTTTTAAAGATTTATTTATGTATGCATACAGAACTGGGGTACAGGCCAGAGATGTGGAGGGTGAGAGGATTCAACAGAGACAGAATGGGGAGCAGAACAGGCAGATAGATGACAGGAGAGCAGTAGGCGGGTCAGTAGAGGTCTGCCCTGCCATGTGGATCTCCTCCGGGGCAGGCGGGAATCGAACTCTATGCGGAAGTGGCTTAAGCTTCTTAGTGCAGTGCTTTAACCCGCTGCGCCACCAGGGAGGGCCCTGGCTTTAGAGAATCTTAAAAGTTATACTCAAGTCTGTTTTGGAAAAAACTAATAAGCATAACAATTCAAACCTTTATATACAAAA